AGGTCAGATTTGCAAATCACTCACTTCCTTTTCTTCTTCCTAACAAGGAGGTTTTGGCTTGTTCAAGAAGGGCTTTGATTTCCCGGTCGTAGAGTCTGTTCAGGTTCTGGGCATAGACCTGGAAGGTAGACGCATGACTAGGTAAAAACAAAAAGACCAAATTTTAGCATTTCAGACCTTTTCCTTCAGGAGTATATTTGCCACTGGGTCCCAAACTGCTTTCTGTAAAGCACAGAAGTCCAACACAGTGTGGCCAAGTCGGCCAGACACTCTCCCAGAAGGGCCAAACCCTGGAAGCTCGTGGGTGGCATGGGTTTGGTGAGACCAAGCTCTCATCAGGAATTCACCAGTCTGACCAATCTGTTCCCAGTGGATGGTTTGCAATATTTGTTCAGGATTTCAGCCATACCTTGGGGAGGTCACAGAACAGAACTGAGTTGGTGTTCCTCAGCCAGGCCATGAGTGGGATGTAGGGCAGCAATTCCTTGTGGTGAAGCCTGTGGCTTGGTGCAGACAGTTTGTCAATGGGCTGACCAAGTTGAGGGACCTGAGCATTACCCTAAAGCAACAGAAACAGCAGAATGAGTCAAATAAAAGTCTTGCAAAGGTTCAAAATCAGCCCTGAATTTCCTGTTCTGAAATTACCAATTCCATGTTGAGAAGCAAATGCCAAACTGAAGCAGAGCGAGACCACTTGGAACCCTAGTTTTAATCCTATTATCTGGGAAAAATTCTGAGCTGGCTCAGCAGTAACACGAGATACTCTAGCAAAGCACCATCATCAGGAGAAGACCCAGGAGAAAAGCTCTTTGTGGAGAAACATGCTGGAAATCCTTCCTCTGAGCACAGGGAGTTAGGTCTGCCTCAGGGGTGGGATGCTATGAGAGGAAGGATTTTCTGGGGTCTGCAGTCCTGGGAGACTGCACACAAAGACTCAGAGTCATGCAGGTGGGATGGGAGCTTGGCAGGTTCAGAGCAGGTCCAGGTGGAGCAGTTTGCTCAGCAATGTGTCCAGCCAAGATCTGAAAATCTCCACGCATGGAAATCCCACCATTCTCAGTTCCCTACCAGTCCCAGAGCCAATGTTTGAAAGTAATAAATAATTCAAGGAAGTAATGCTAAGGTTTGGGAGTTGCTCCTTTTCCTGAAATGAAATTCAGATTTCTGCCCACAGAGATATTGTCTGTCATATCTTTTAAATTGCAAAATTAGCACCTGAAAATGTTAATCAAAGGATCAAGGGATTTGCTTTTATGCTGGCGTAAAAGGCTTTTTTTATCCTGGGATTTTGTGTTAAAAACAGATCAACAACCACCACCACTCCCAAAAGAAAATAATAAAACCTTAAGTAAAACACCTTTAAGTATGCCCAGAGGGTTAATGACTGTCACCAGAGGGAACGTGGTAGCCTGGATTTCTTCTCTGTGCCTGCAAAACTAACCCAAAGGCTGGAGGGCAACAGCAGGGTGAAGGTATGTGGAAAGACCTCTTTGGGGAGACACTTTGAGAGTGTAGTGGGTTTGTGTGGCCAGGTTTTGGCAGTGGGAGGCTACAGGGTTGGTTTCTGTGAGAAGTTGCTAGAAGCTTCCCCACGTTCCGCAGAGCCAAATGCCGCCGGATGGCCCCACCACTGCACCAAGGCCGAGTCAGTCAGTGGTGGCAGTAACACCTCTGGGATGACAGATTTAAGAAAGGGAAAAACATTATTGCACAGAAGTATTTTTGGCCAGAGAAGAGAGGAGTGAGAATATGTGAGAGGAAAAATTCTGCAGACACCAAAGTCACTGGAGGAGGAGGTACTCCACATGCCAGAGCTGAGGATCCCCTGCAGCATGTGGTGCAGACCAAGGTGAAGCAACTGTGCCCCTGCAGCTCATGGAGGTCAATGAGGTACAGAGATCCACCTGCAGCCAGCAGAGGAGACTCATGCCAGAGCAGGTGGGTGCCCTAAAGGAGGCTGTGACCCTGTGGGAAGTCCCTGGAGTAGCTCCTGGCAGGGACCTGCAGAGCCATGGAGAGAGGAGACTCACGCTGGAGCAGGTTTCCTGGTAGGACTCATGACTCTGTGGGGGACCCGTGCTGGAGCTGTCCCTGTGGGACTGGACTGCACCCTGTGGAGAGTGACCCACACGGGAGCAGTTCTTGCAGAACTGTAGCCTGAGGGAAGGATTCACATTGGAGAAGTCCATGGATAGCTGTGTCCCATGGGAAGGACCCCATGCTACAGCAGGGGAAGGACTGATCCCATGGAAGGGACTCCAGGCTGGAGCAGGGGAAGGACTGATCCTGTGGAAGGGTCGCCACGCTGGAGCAGGGGAAGGACTCCTCTCTCTGAGCAGTGGCAGCAACAATGTATGATGAACTGACCTGTCCTGGTTTTTGGCACATGTTTTTAGGGTATCTTTTACATTCCCATTATCCTGATCTGATCTTCTTAGCGATAAAATCACTTAATTTCCCCAGGCTGACTCTCTTCTGCCCTTGATGATGTTCAGTGAGTGATATCTCCCTGTCCTTATCTCAACTCATGACCTTTTGTTTTATTTTCTCTCTCTTGTCCATTTGCAGAGGGGAGTGAGAGAGCAGCTTTGGGAGGTGCCTTGCATCCAGCCACAGTCAACCCACTACATCCCCTACAGCACTGGTATGACTTTACCAGAACATTTAAGCCTTCCAGGATTTTGAGGTGCCATGTGAAGAGTGAAGCCCACCTGCAGCTCAAAGATGCTTGTGATGTGGCTTATGAAAGAGTTTTCAAAGTTCTGCTTGAGTGTTTCGAACATGATGAGCTGCTCAGCCACTGCCTGCAACTTTCGGTAACCTGGAGGAAAAGAGAGAGGTTATGGTGGGACTGAGGGCATGAGCTGTGGTGTCTGCAGACCAACAGCACTCAGCACACTGGCAAAGAAGACAGGAATAAGTTCTGAGATAAATCCTACCACCCAAAAGCCAATTAAGGGGGAAAAGATCTGCTGTGGTACGAGGCAAATACAGACAAGGAGGGAGTTGAAAGTAAAAAAAGCAAAATTGCAAAGTATCCATCAGTCCAACCATGGCCAAGGACACACACCCAATCCCACCACAAGGAAAACTTGGGGTTTCATGCCAGGATCACATCCCTGTGCACTGGCAGGTCTCCAACAACTCCCACACACTGCTACAATGAATGATTGTTTTTCCGTGCTTGAGTGCAGATAACTGAGTTGCCCCAAGAGATTACAACTTCTAAACACAACTTTCCATCAGGTCCTTTCTGAACTCTAAGAGATGTTGTACACTGCTGGCAGGTCACACTGCCTTACATCCAGCTGTTTAGAGGAAGTTATAGATGCTTGGCAGAAGTCCATCTCATCTCTAATGTAAACTGGCCAAGTCCAGCAGGAGGTGCCTATGCTGAATGGATGCCCCAGCTTGGGCATTTGCAGCATAAATTGGATTTTTCTAGGAATAGAATCAATTCAGGTGGAGAGAGAGAGAGAGTTGGGAATGGCCAGCCTGGAGAAGATAAGGCCCCAGGGAGACCTAGGAGACCTAGACCCCTTCCAGTGCCTAACGGGGCTCCAGGAGAGCTGGAGAGGGACTTAGGACAAGAGCCTGAAAAGACAGGACAATGGAAAATGGTTTCCCACTGTCAGATGTCAGGGTTAGATGGGATGTTGGGAAGGAATTCTTCCCTGGGAAGTGATGAGGCACTGGCCCAGGGTGCCTAGAGCAGCTGTGGCTGCTCCATCCCTGGAAGTGTTCCAGGCCAGGTTGGATGGGACTTGAAGCAACCTGGGCTAGTGGAAGGTGGGCCTGTCCATGGCAGGGGGGATGGGACTAGATGGTCTTTAAGGTTCCTTCCCAAACTATTCCATGATTCCAAGATCTCCAGAACAAACCCTCCAAGCCTCTTTCCCCAGCTCACAGCTCTGGATGCATTGCAGGGGACTATTGTTTGTAGCTGTGCACCTGAGACCTCAGGTACCCCCAGTTCTCTGCTACTGCTAAGCTTCCCAAACACAATCCTGCCTTCTTTTTCTTTCTTGCTTGGCCCAGGCAGCTGCAGGGCTGCTCAGCCAGCATGGGAACTAATTCCTGGGAACATCCCCTCCAGCATCAGCAGCTCAGGGACACCTTCAGAGGCTGGGCAGCACAGAATGGTGCTGGGTGTGCAGCACAGGCTGGGGCTGGGCCAATGGCTCTGCTATCTGCAGACATCAATCTCTGCTGTCTACTCACCAGGCTGTAGCTGGATGTTCATGCAGCCAGATAAAGCCTCTGCTGCAGCAACACAGGCTTGCACACTGCTGAGGCTGGAAAGGTCTGCCCGGCTCAGGGCATCGCAGTGCCCCTTGCTGAGGTGGAGATGGGTCTAAAAACAAAGCCAGAAGATAATAGGTACAAGCACAATCAGCTTTTCATCCCTTCTCCGCCCTTCTGATCCTACCTGCTGGCTGCTGGCTGAAATAGCCAAGTGCCACTGCCCTCAGCAGCCAGACTACATGTGGCCATCAAGGCATCCACACTGCTCCATCCCCAACAATACCAAAGTTCTGCCCAAGAACAACTGCAACGGTGGCCTTGCAAACCTCCGCACAAGTTTCCAAAGGGCTGGAACCTCTGGGATCACTACTGGCAGTGAAGTAGTGAGGAGGAAAAAGGAAAAGCCAAGGAAATTGCAGCTTAGTTATTCAGAAATGAAAAGGTCAGTGACACAGAGGTCACAGTAAGCCCTGGAAGTGAGGATTAGCTGTGCTGTTACAGCACAGCTCTTGTCTTTATGGTATGTTATGTTTGCAAATAATTTGCTTTCCCATATTCCAAGAGTCTTTTCACTGGCTGTGTTGTCCCCTGTGCTGCTGTCTCTGTGGCTGTGAAGAACTGCAGTGCTGTGGACAGCAGGTCAAGGGTACCACAGGGTCCATATGCCACAACAGATGCTGAGATGAGCTGATGTGCACAAAGACCGGAGCTGGTGGCAGACACTGAATGGTGATGTTACCTTCAAGGGTAGGCAGATTAGGGGTGGAGAGAGGAAGAAAGAGAGAAAAGGAATGGGGAAACTCCCATCAGTGGGAAGTGGGAAAAGAAGGAATAGGATTCTGGACAAACAGCCTTTCCAGGGCAGCAGGGAATCCTCCAAATGCTTTCCCCATGGTAGATGCATAGTTTGCCTCAGGACACTCAAAGTTGCCTCTCCATGTGAGGTTATCAGTGCTGATGGGAGCAGGTTTGACCAGGGATGGGTGTTGCAAGCTCTGCCTCTAATTGCTCTTTAATTGCTGTGCTTGTGTGTTCTCAGGTAATGATTTTTGGCTATTAAATTCCAAACTGACTATTGCCATTCCTCACCTTGCTCAGGAAAAGGACTTTCAAAAACCCCTCTTAGAGACCTTGGACCATGGTGAGGATACTGCACACCACCTGCTGCTTGTCTGCCTGGAGTCCATCCCAGCTTTGTGTCCATCATTGACAGTAAAATCCCTCATTTCTAGGCCAGAGGAGCTCTGTAGCCCTTGCACACAGATCATAGTTTTCAGTGTTTGAGACTCACTGAAAGTTTTCTTCTAATAGATTCAACAAGCTGCAGATATATGTCTTCCCAAACCCACATACTGTGAGGAAGATGATCTCATCCATCAGCCTTGTCTTGTTGGAAATGATGCGATGCAGCAAGGAGTTTTCCTGGTGGATGTGGTCCATCTGCTGCTTCACACTTCCCAGGAGTTCATCATAGATCTGCAAGGTCTGCTCCACCCTGGCCACCTCTGTCAGGGCCTCATCAATGGAGCTCATCAGCTGTGTCACCTGCTGCTCAGAAGAGATGATAGCTCGAAGGTTGGCCTGTGGAGTGGACGAGCAGAGGGATTCAGCAGGGACTGATCACCTCCATCTCAATGGACGAGCAGAGGGATTCAGTGCTCAGCAGGGACTGATCACCTCCATCTCAGAGTCAAATACCCTGACCTTCCTCCTCCAAAGTCCCAACCAAGCCCCTGCCATGGTGCCATTGTAACATGCAGGATGCTCTTAGAGTCACAGCTGTCCTGCAATTACCTGCTCGAAGTCAATGTCTTACCTCTGCACTTGGCTGAACTCTACATCAGCACTATCTGCATGTCCCAAGTGCCAGGGCAGAACAAAACCCTCCCCTGAGCAAGGTGTACACTCAGAGGACTTTCATCTAACACAGGAAAGAGATTACTGCACTTGCCAGGCAAATCCAGCCATGAGCAGAATACTGTCATAGAATCATAGAATGTTAAGGGGTTGGAATGGACCTTAGAGACCATCTAGTCCCAATCCCCTGTCCTGGGCAAGGACACCTCCCACCAGACCAGGTTGCTCAAGGCACGATCCAACCTAACTTTGAGCACTGCCAGGGTTGGGGTATCCACTAAAGTCTTTGTAGGTCTGGAGTGGGTGCCAAGCCTTACTGCTTCCTGCACCTCACTTTTCCCTCTGTGCACTATGAAGGTCCCAAGTGGACACTTCATGGAGTCTCTAGCCACAATCTCCACAAGTGGTGAAGTGCCCTGAGGCATGTGTCCAACCCACAACATTTCATAGACTCACGGAATGGTTTGGCTTGGAAGAGACCTTAAAGAACATCTTGTCTGACCATGGGTAGGGACACCTTCCACTAGTTGCTCCAAGCCTCATCCAAACTGGTCTTGAACACTTCCAGGGATGGGGCAGCCACAGCTTCTCTGGGCAACCTGTGCCAGTACCTCCTAGTAAGTAAACACCCCAGCTTTGAGGCATTGAGGCATTGGCCATTTCTGTCTGCCTCTGACACATTTCTGCAGCTCATGGCCATGCCAAGTGCCTGTCTCAGCATGTTTAGCACGTCTCTGACACATTTCTGCAGCCCATGGCCATGCTAAGTGCCTGTCTCAGCATGTTTAGCACAGCTTGGGGCATCACCGCTGCTGCCAGGATGTTACTCAGCAGAGCTGCTCTAGCAGTGGAATTAATAAACAGTTCAACCATGCCTGAGACATGCACATATATATGTCTCTAAGATGGAAGCTGAAGGCACAATTAGCCTAAGGAAGACTCAGGTACTTGTTCTGAAGGGTGGTAGAAACCTAACGGTGTGTTAATCACTGCTGACAAGCTCTGCTAGAGGTTAAAGAAAACAATCAATAGCCATAGGCCTGGGAGGAGGGAGGCTTCCAGGCTGATGGTTTTCTCTCCATTTATAAAGAAGGTTGTCTTTTCTAATGTATTAGTTATCCGATGTCTTTTTCTTTAAATGAAGAACCACAGAAGCATCTGCACTCCCCACAGCAAGCCCTGTGCTTAGCTCACTGGTGGAAGGAAGAGAAGCAAAGTCTTGTCTGCACAGGTCAGGTTGCTGTGGCTTGGACAGCCCCTGTGCTCCGAATTAGGACTGTGTCTGAAAGCACAGTAGAGGCTGAACATATATGATCCTTGTGTTAAGGACTTTCTCTTCTTTAAGCTCCACCTGCACTGCTGTTGGGATGAAGATGAGCTGGAAGCTCCAGCTCCAGAGGTGCTGCATAGAAAAAGAGGTTGGGTTGGAAGGGACCTTCAAGACCATCCAGTCCCACCCCCTGCCATGGGCAGGGACACCTTCCACTAGACCAGGTTGCTCCAAGCACCATCCAGCCTGGACTGGAATACTTCCAGGAACAGGGCTGCCACAGCTTCTCTGGGTAACCTGTGCCAGTGCCTCACCACCCACACAGGGAACAATTCCTTCCCAATACCCCATCTACCCCTTCTCTCTAGCAGTGGGAAGCCATTCTCCCTTGTCCTGTCCCTCCAGGCCCCTGTCCAAAGGATCTTTCCAATTCTTCTGGAGCCCCTTTAGGCACTGGAAGGGGCTTTAAGGATTCCCTGGAGCCTTCTCTTCTCCAGGCTGAACATCCTGTGAGGCTGGTGAGATACTGGCACAGGTTGCCCAGGGAAGTTGTGGCTGCCCCAACCCTGGCAGTGTTCAAAGCCAGGTTGGATAAAGCCTTGAGCAACCTGTTCTGGTGGGACATGTCCCTGCCCAGGGCAGAGGACTGGAACTAGATGATCTCTGAGGTCCATTACAGCCCCTTAACATACTAACAAACTGTGAAACTATGAATACCAATGTCCAAATCAGAGGCAGCAGTGTGCCCTGGCCATGCTGTCCTTCCCTCGGAGGCAGATATGTGCTTTCTTGCTGTGGGTGCAGTAATTTTTGCAATCCCCAGAAGAAATGGTTTGGAGGAAGGTGATGAATAAGAGAAAGGAGGCCAAGGTGTTACCACTGGGATGTGGGGAAAAACATTTAAATAGATGCATGTGCTGGTCTAACTTGCTAGTATTAATAACACTTAATATCATACATTAAGCCTTAGAAATAGAAACAACTCATTAATTAATCTGTAGTAGCAGTAAGTCACATTTATTCATTAGACACCATTAAAATAATGTATTCAACAGCTCCTTTCAGCTCAAATAACTTAATAGAGATGTATTAGTTGCTCTCACAGGGTATTTTACAGCTGGGAAACAGTCACGCAGTGCCTGTATGACTTGCCAGGAGCTGGCAGGAGCAGACCTCAGGAGTTTGGTCCTCCAGATTAACTACTAAGTTTCCAAATGGAATAAATCATATATAAATATAAATTGGGAAGACAGCAAAGACTGGAGCTAAAGGAGGTTGGATTTAGGGTTTGTAGTTTCCCATATGGTTTAGGATATTTCCTTTGGCTTATTTTTTCCCCTTTTTTCTTTGCTTACATTCCCATAAAATCCCAGCACCAGCTATATTAGCATAAGATAAATGCTCAAAGATGCCATGTTGCTATGCTTCAGCACTCAGAGAAGAAGTTATCCTCTGCAGAAAAGCAGTAAAACAAAGCAACTCTAATGAATTCCGCAAAGCTTACTAGTCATAGAATCATAGAACGGTTTAGGCTCTGGAAGGGACCCTAAAGCTCATCCAGTATCATCCCCCTGCCATAGGCAGGGACACCTTCCACTAACCTAGGTTGCTCCAACTTGGCCTTAAACACTGCCAGGGATGGAGCAGCCACAACTTCTCTAGGCACCTTTTGCCAGTGCCTCACTGCCCTCACAGGGAAGTGAAGTCTGAAAACATGTGTCTTATCCATTGGACCTTTCTACTATTTCTTTTACTTTTTAATCTCTTTCCAACTCTATTTAATTTTTCTTCCATTTTCTTTCCCCCTAGATGCTGCTTTTCCTTCTGTAGGGATCATTTTTGGCCCTTTTCTTTCCCAGTCTCCTCCATCTCCCTCAGTCATCCCCAGAGCACCCCACATCACTGTGCCGCACAGTCAGACCCTTACCTACACTTCTCCCAGAGATTTCTCCCAGATGAAGTTCTCACAGCAAAGGAAAGAGCTGCTGATACCCAGAGACTCAGTCAGGTGTCCCTACCTTCCAGGCACCATCTTTTTGGCTGAGTCACAGCCCTTGGGCCCTGTACCTCATCCAACACATGGAGATCCTTGACCAGCTGCTCTGCAAAGTCCACAGAGTTGTTCACAAGGGGCTCATACTCCTCCATCAGCTTCAGCACATCGGCAGCTTCCTTCGGTGTCATCTCCTGGTACACACTGAGCTCCTCCTGGCTCTCAGCTGCCACCTGGTCCTTCCTGTCTTCTTCAGGTCTTTGCATCCCTGCATGGGCAGGAGAAGATGTGGAGATGGCCAGAGGCTTCTAACTACATCATTTTATTAGCCCTGCTAAAATTAGGTTCTACTGAGTCCAGTGGTCTCAGTTCGCTGGTCAGTCACAACAAGATCACAGCATGGAGCAAGGCAAAATGGGCCTAAGATAAAGGGTCAGATTTGGAAGAGGGACAAAATGGGCATTTGAAATTTAACTTGAGCTCTGGTTGGGTTTTTGCTTGTTCACCTCTCTAGTACTGTGTGCTGGGGCCTGTTGATACGTGGTACAAAGCTGAGACAAATTTCAGACATGAAGAGAACTCTTGATTTAAATTAGATACAAGGAAGAAGGACAACGGTGAATGGCTTCCCATTGCCAGAGGGAAGGGTTAGATGGGCTATTGGGAAGGAATTCTTCCCTGTGAGGGGGGTGAGACACTAGCACAGGTTGCACAGAGAAGCTGTGGTTGCCTCATCCCTGGAAACATTCAAGGTCAGGTTGGATGGTGCTTGGAGCAACCTAGTCTAGCGGAAGGTGTCCTGGACCATGGCAGGGGGGTTGGCCTATGTGGGCTTTAAAGGCCTCTTCCCAAAATATTCGATGAAATACACTGATGGTCATGTGTTACAGAGTGAAATCTATTTTTATATCCACATATATCTGTATTTCCTGATGTGGTAATGTTAGCAAGGAGGCAGCCAGTCCCTCTCTCCCCTGACATTACCAACACTTTACTGCTCACCTCACCAGTCCAAGATGCAGAGAGAATCTCTGGAGATAAGACAAACTCCATTTTTCTTCCCAGCCTGGCACTGTGTCTCCATGGCAAGGAGCAGTGGAGAAATCAGATGGCTGTGCCTCCTGATATCCAAAATACCAACCCTTCTCCTTCCCTCTCACTGCTACCCACCTCACCCTCTCCCATCATCCACATTGGCTGTTTGAAATGGATTCACCTTTCAATGACAGTGATGATGCAAAAAGCTCAAACCATTCTGAGTGTGACAAGGAAATTATTTACCTTCTGTTGCACATGAGGGAACATTCACAAACGTGACAGTGTTGGCCAGGAATCTGAGGTTTAGCCTCCATAAGCATCTGATAAAGGTTTTCTTCTCCTCAAAGCTCCTGGCAGTCCACTTGTACACCTTCTCAAACTGCAGATCAAAATCCAGGCTGGCCTAGTTGTCAACAGTTAATTACCACATCAATTAGACACCACTGGTTGCACCAGGTATGCTCAGCACTAGTTTGCAGCACATTTGAGAGGTATGTTCATAGCACTTTGCAAATCACAGGCATGATAAAAGCCCTGAAAATGAAGGATGCACAGCAATTCTGACCCTAGAAGTGGACACCAGGACACCCATAGTGGGTCAGACCAAGCAGTCAACCACGCCTGATCCAGGACACTGATTTAATTTCAGATTATATAAACCTTTTCACCTTTTACTGCAGTTTTGGGGGATGAATGATGAATTTTGACAGTGGCCAGTGGCAGATGCTTGGGATAAAAAGCATTTGAAGGGCAAGCCCAGAGTTATGGTGCCTTCAGAATTCCCTGCCAGGCTCCAACCTCCCGTGATCCAGCAGCTCGTTGAGCCGGAGGTTGTATCCACAGCCCTGTGTTTAACAGCCCTTGAAGGACCTGCTGTCCCTAGTTTCCTCTAATGGGTTTTTGAACTTATTCACAGTGTTGGCACCTACAGCATCCTGTGGCAGTAAGCTCTGTGGTGCAATGATGTACTGAGGGACAAAGTGTAATCAACTGCTCTTTGAGGGTAAGCCCAGCACCCACCCAGATCTCATTGCAGATATTCCTCTCTGCAGTCTTCTTCCAACCTAATATCTCAACCCTGTCTTTACTCAAGAATTGAGAACACCCAAAGAAAACCCAGAAACAGCCTTCCACAAGCCTCCCACAATCTCAGTCCTGAAATCCCCCCCAGTGTGGTGTCACATGTGCATCACTTGGCATCACCCAGTGGCCTCAGTTACTGGCAGGGGAAGGTCACCTGAGATTACAGGAGCATGGACTAGGAAAAAAAGTACCTTTGGCATTTCTCATGATGTTTTCATCCACATAAATGTCAACATGTTTACATCTACCTATGCCCAAAGGACGTAGTCTCATGCACAGGAGACTTAGTTTTTGCCACTAGGCACTATAAAGTGGAAAGAATAATGGAGGTTGCTGAATTCGGAATATCCCACAGGAGGAAATTCCTTCCTGCACCATCTGATTAACTCTGCAGAGTAGCCTGATCCATCTGAAGAACTTAGAAGCCTCACTTGTAACTATTGACACTAATCATCATAAAAGACACAGAATTCGTGAGGATCACTGCAGTCCTACTACGCACTACCAGTTGCTTCCAGAACACCTTGAAGCAATATACTTGGCAGTGTTTAAAGCCAGGTTGGATAAAGTCTTGAGCAACCTGGTCTGGTGGGAGGTGCCAGGGCAGGGGGTTGGGGCTAGATGATCTCTAAGGTCCATTCCAACCCTTTAACATACTATGAAGCTATGAAACTATGATAGATCACACCCTAGTGTTGCTTTGTAGGAAGGTAACAGCCCCTGCGATGGCTGAGGGGATGTCTGGGGGAGGAACCAATGGCACATGGGTTTATAGCTGCCTTAGGAGAAGCTGTTAAAGCAGGGAGGCATTAGAATCATAGAATTATCAAAGTTGGAAAAGATCTCTAACACAATCAAGTCCAACCATTAGCCTGTCACTGCTGTAAGCCCTAAACTTTACCTATATCTTCCAGTGCTAGATCCAGATGCCTTAAACACTTCTAGGGATGGTGACTCCACCACCTCCCTGGGCCTGACCAACCTAACAGTGCAAAAGTCTTTCCGAATATCTAATCTGAATCTCCCCTGTCTCAATTTATGGCCTTCATTAGTTGCCTCATTCATACCATTTTGGTCAAGGGAGCAGTAGCACTAGTCACAGCTGGACTTGCAGTGTTAGTATTTGTTGATATCATGAAAACTCTGATTTTAACTAGTGAGTAGATCCCATTTTGGGAATGATATGGATAATTCTGGCTGTCTGCATTCAAGAAAGATTAATTCAGCCTGGAAGAGGCAAGGAAGAGGGTTCCAGACCTGGTGAAGGGAAGAAAGAAGCCATAGAATGATAGAATCATTTGGTTTGGAAGAGACACTAAAGATCATCTAAAGGGACCTTAAAACCCCTTTGTAAAGCTGTTTTGACATCCCTGCTGTATCTGGTGCGTTAGGAAAACAATTAGTTTCATTTGTGATATTCAAGGACATTATGTACATTCTGGAGGGTTAATCAGATTAGAGAATCGTAGCATGGTTTGGGCTAGAAGGTACCTTAAAGACCATCTTGTTCCACCCCATACCATGGGCAGGGACACCTTCCACTAGGCCAGGTTGTTCCAAGCCCCATCCAACCTGGACTGGAACAATTCCAGGGATGGGGCAGCCACAGCTTCTCTGGGCAACCTGTGCCAGTGCCCCACCACTCTCACAGGGAAAAATTTCTCCCCAATATCCTATCTAACCTGCCTCTGGCAGTGGGAAGCCATTCCCTCTGGTTCTATCACCAGTCAACAGAGAAGGAAACTGTGAGGTCAGTCTGCTTAGCCTGCCAGAAGGAAGGTTAATAGGGAAGGTGACTGCAATCTAAAAATACATCTGCAAAGGCGTAGAGCTGTCTAACCTAAGGGACAGCCACAGCACCTCAGGGATGGTGTGGGCAGGAATACAGACTGGGAGTCATAAGAAGGCTTTAGCTAGCAGGAAAACCAAGTTCTCTATTTGCCTCCCAGCGGGAGGGGGTTCAAAAATACACCAGTGCTTTCAGATAGAGTATGAACAGTTCATCCCATTGGGATGGCAAACAAAGGAAAAAGGACTGAAAATCCTGGAGATATCTTCTAAGCTGAACTCTTCAGGAGCCACAAAGCAGTTTAAAAGCCTTGATTGAGCTCATCTGCTAAAGGAGAGCTCAGGCATGGTGAGAGCACATATCTCCTCATGTGCAGGGCAATGTAAGACAATGAAATATCAGTTTGGTTCTGCCCATAGGATCTAGATGCCCTGCAAAGCTGCATTGTGATTTTCCTTCCAGACATGCTGTACAGATGTACTTTATTTGTCCTGGATGGAGAATCAGAAAGCTGCTCTTTTTCTCCTTTATTTCTCTGCTTGTGAAAAGCCAGGCAGCTTGCCAAAGCCCCTGGAACATTCCCATTAATAAAAAAACTAATTAGAACAACTTTAACGACACTCTGGCAGCCCCAGCAGCAGAAGGCCAATATCTTGGCCATGCTTTCTTTCCCCAAAACCTAAATGTCACCCTAAAGGCACAGACTCATGCTGACTCCAGCCCTCTCTAATCCTTCTTTCCATAAATGCCACCATCTAATCTTTAAATACCCTATGCAAATGTCTGTGGAGAAGCTTTGTCAACATGGATTGACAGATGAGCCTGGCTGTGTCCTGCAAATGCCGGAGACCTGACAAGAGTCTTTGCAGCCCATCTCTCCAGTCTCAGAAGGCTGCAGCAATGAGCTTAAGGAGGTCTTCTGCCTGGGGAATAAGTTTGTCTGCTGATTTTGATGGAAGCTGTGGCCATACATCAACATAGAATCATTAAGGTTGGAAAAAACCTGCAAGATCATTAAATCCAACCTTTGACCAATCACCACCTTGTCCACTAAATCATGGCCAGGTATTTGGCCAGTTCAGGCATTCAGCCAGCCTGACATTTCCTAATTTAGAGAAGGATGACTCAGGAAGGAGTAAAAATCCCACCAGCCTCAGCATCCTGGGCACAAGCACCTCCCTGGAAGGGGTGAGGTACACAAAAGTCCCAAAGCACTGATGGAGGATGAAGGAACCATCTGAGGAGGGACCCTGGTTCACCATACTCAAGGAAACAGCTCTGAGTGAAGGCAAAGGGCTTTTCTTTTTTGGAATGTTTCCTCAAAATTTCATCATCAGTCCTATCTTTGAAATCCCACACACCCCACTGCTCCTTCCACCATCTAAACAAATGGGCTGAGCTTCAGAGGACCTGAATTCCCCCACAGATTTCGGCCTGTGTCTCATTTTCATACCTCTCCCTCCCCATCTTCAGTTCTGCCCTTTGCCATGTAAGGAAAGCGAGTCCTACCTGCTGGAGACTCTTGCCATCCACCTGCCTCAGCTCTGCTAAAGGCCACCAGTGTGCTGTCTTGTATGGCTCTCCTCGGTCCAACTTGACCTCCACCAGAAACGGCTGCATTGGCCTAGAGGTGTCCACTGGGGATGACAACAGGTAAAAAAACAACCCACAAATTATTGTTAGCCCAGTACAGCAGTTCAGTGCACGAACAGGTACAAATGGACCCACAGATACTGATTTGGTGTTGTGACTGGATGGAGAGATGCTTCAGGGATTCCTCTATCTTGTCATTGAGTATTTACATATGCCAAGTGCTCTCTGAGGTCTAATCCAGCACACTCTGAAGTCTATCGAGGGGTTCCCAATAATTTCTATGAGTTTTAAGCCAGGTCATTGTGCTCTACACATGGCACAAGTGATATTTCGGTAAGATCCAAGTACAACAGGAACAGGTGCCTCAGTGCAATAAGATTGATGGTAGCTTTGTACCACATTTCTGGCCCTACAACAGGGCCCCAAAGCACTGTCCTATTTGTCTGACAACCACTTTGACATGTCCCATCAAAAATCAGTTCCAGTGTCAACTGAACAGACACCTCTTAGTTCATCTAGGAGGTTCTCACTGTATTTCTGGCTACTAACATTTATGTTTTCCATATGAGCTCAATATCTCCAGAAATCTGACACAGACCGTTCCAGGGGTTTTTAGAGGCCACTCCAATTGTGGATACATCTTTGAGATATTCCTCCTGCCCACCACTGACTATGGAGGGAGTTGAAAGACGTCATTTAGGTCAAACACTATGGCTAAGACTGTCAGAAATCAATCCTGTAGTAAGTAGCTCCTCTGTCTAGAAACTCATTGGCCAGAATCTCCCTGTAAGTTTGTACAAAAAAATCTACACTAACAAATTCTCAAGAGTGATGGAGCAACTAGAAAAGCAGAGACCAAATGAGACTGAAAATTTCCCAAAGGACTTATACCTTTGGCTCCTAATCAAACAGTTCTGTACTCCTGGAATGTCTGTCTCACCAGAACGACAGACAGCATGAGGCTGCAATATTGGGGTGTGCTAGAATGGTTTGTTGCTGACCTCTAATGACAGAATTCATGCAAATGGTAAAAGAAAATCTAATCTCATGCTGGTGGAGAGAACAGTCCTGGAGGGAGAAATCCTGCTATTTCCAGCCACCTTGGAATGGTCTTTAGACCATTCAACATGCAAGAGGAAATCTGTGCTTTTATTGCCAGTTCTTGACATACTACCCTGACGTGGCTCCGCTCCTGTTTTGGGATTAGGAATTCTGTCATTTAATCTTAAAATGCAATATTCAAATTAATGGTCCTATCTCTTCCCCCAGACTAGGAAAAGAGCCATCAGAGACCAAACTCTCTGAGGAGAGCAGCAAGAAAACATCATGGGTTTGCACCTCTACCTGTCCCCCAGCCCCTTGGGGTTCTCACCCACAAGACAGAGAATGGACATCTTCTTCTTCCTCCCTGTTTTCCAGACATGGACAGTTTTCAGCAGCCTCTTCTTCTGAGGGTTGAACACATCTTTTTCCAGAGAGTTCCAAAGGGAAGTCATAGTGGTACCTGAGCACAACAGCAAGTGGCAACTCCGTGTGCTGGTGCTTGTGGTCACCCCCTACAAAACACAAGCAGGCCAGAGAGGTGATCCAGAGAAACTGCAGCTGTCCCATCCTGAAAGTGTTCAAGGCTAGGCTGGATGTGGCTTAGAGCAACCTGGTCTAGTGGAAGGTGTCCCTGCCCATGGCAGGGGGTGGAATGAGATGAGCTTCCATTTAAGGTCCCAAACCATCCTGTGATTCTATGATTCTGTGATTCTTAGGTCTCACTAGGAAGTTGGGTTGGAAGGGACTTTAAAGATCATCCAACCTGGCTGCCATCGGATATGTCATGGAGATGTATTTCCACTCTAAGTCAGATTCAACAGTATCAAGTTTCATAGCAGGCCACATCCTGTAGGTCCTGTATAAACACTCAGAAACCACCAGCAGTTGTCTCACAGCCTTTGCACAGACTGGGGAGGGAAATAAGCAAAGTGGCTACATAAAAGATTGTTTTTTGCAAATATTGAAGTGAGAATTAGGAACAAATAAAAATGCAGACTGAAGGAAAAGAATAATATTTAGAACAGGCACTTGGAATGTTTTCTTAATGAAGTTTGGTCTTATTTAATTTTACCTGTGGCTCTGCAATGAACTGAAACCAGTGAACCCTTCAATGGTTCCTCCCACAGCTTTGGGGCTTTCAGCTCAGCCACGCTGTTAACAAGCTTGAAAACACATCCACAATTATTACAAATACGCTACCATGGTTATGGACCAAAATACGCAAAGAAATTACTGCTAAAATGATTCTGACACCACAGAATCCTGTTGAATGAAGCTCCTCGCTGGCCTGACACAGGCCTGGCACGGTCCCTCTGGGCACTGGCACAGGTTGCCCAGGGAGGCTGTGGCTGCTCCACTCCTGGCAGTGTTCAAAGCCAGGTTGGATAAAGCCTTGAGCAACCAGGTCTGGTGGGAGGTGTCCCTGCCCAGGACAGGCAGTTAGGACTAGATAATCTCTGAGGTCCATTCCAACCCCTTAAAATTCTATGATTCTGTGATTATCCTGGTTTCTCCATCCCTGGCAGGTTTTCAGCCTCTTTACTAGCATTCCCCTGGGAGGCAGGAGGGATGGCAGCCTGACATTCTGCTATTGCTTTTGAACTCACTAATTCATTTCTAATAGCACTTGAGCAACAGCCACAGGAAAATGATTGAAAGGCAAAGTAATAGAGGGCTCAGTGCGGCTGGAGAAGTTAATACAGAAAGCACAACACTTCCCCTGGCTAATTGCAAAGCTGTCTGGAGCAGAGCTGCTTCACTCCCCCATTTTTCAGAGACAACCTGTATGAATTAAAGATGTCAGTGAAACCTTCCTGAAGCTCTCCCAGAGGTACCCATCACCCACCTAAGCAGCTGCCAGTGAGGAAGAAGTTAGCCAAAGGAAGAGCCATCAAAGACTTTACCAGCCACGTTTTGCTGAGAATCAATCGAGGGATTTCAGTCACAAGAAGCCTCAGAACAGGAAACAGTTTACTGGTGAAATGAAAGTTTTAAGAGCAAAACAGGAAGCCAGAAGAACCTGAGCGAGGCCATGAGCTGTAGGCAGGGCAGGAAGTCCCTGGTGACCAGGGACCAGGTGCAGCATCAGGGCTGCTGGAGATGCAGTGGAGTTTGACTAAAAGCAAAGCAAGGTAAAATCACCCTCCATTTCCTCTGTGTTTCATTAAAGAGGGTCAGAACAATTACTGTGGTGCATTAACAGATCCTAGAGATATCCTGTGTCCCCAGTCCTCCTCCTTTAACCTGGGGTCTCAGGAACCTGCAAGGGAGAGGTTGTGTTAATGCCCAGGTGTTGTGTCTGGGTCACAAACTCAGCTGAGTAAAGCTGTATTGACATCTCTGCTGTGTTTGGTGCCTTGGGAAGATAACTGATTTCATTTGTGAGCTTCAAGGACATTATGCGCACTCTGGAGGGTTAATTAGATTAGAGAATCATAGAATGGGTTGGGAGGGACGTTAAAGAGCATCTTCTTCCAATCCCTGCCAAGGGCAGGGACACCTTCCACTAGATCAGGTTGCTCCAAGCCCCATCCAACCTGGCCTGGAACACTTCTAGGGGTGAGCCAGCCACAGCTTCTCTGGGCAACCTGTACCAGTGCCTCAGCACCCTCACGGGGAAGAACTCCTCCCCAATACCCCATCTAATCTGCCCTCTGGCAGTGGGAAGCCATTCCCCCTTGTCCTGTCACTCCAGCTCCTTGTCCAAAGATGGGACAAGCAAGAGACAAAAGTATGACCACACCACATAGCAGGACTACATTAACACAGTGTCACTTTCTGCAAGGCAGTTAAGCTGCTATCCTAGGGCTTTCATCCATGACTTCATGTTATTTCCATAAACTCAAGTTTTCTTTACTGCTTCTCTCTTGTGTAAGGGATTTTCTTCTCTCCCCACAGGCTGCACCCACCTTTCACATCTCCCATGGGCACTTCAGGGAGCACAGGGGGATGGCTGCCTAGCACACACATGCAATGAGAATAACACCAGCCTGGGACACAAGTCTCAATTCCACTGGGTGCAGGGAAGGTTTTTGAAATCCATGCTGCTTGGCTAAAAGAAAACAATCTAAAGTAAAACAGGAAAGAAAGAGTTACTTTAGGATTTCTGGCTGTGATCAGGCAGTCCCAAGAGCCTGCAAGAAGCTGCTCAACAGCACTGCAGCCCAGAGAGATCATTTCCCTGGATTATTTCCCTTGAGCCTCATGTGTGGTGGAGACACTGAGGAATCGAAGCTTTTATTTCAAGCAGAAGGTCTGGGGAAGGAAAAAACTCCAAACAAACCTTGAAAAAGCCTTCCCCTGCCTGCATCTGCCACAGGATGAAAATGAGCAATTAATCTCAATAGTTGCAAACTCATAATCCTATTTTTAAAAATACAGAGGTGTTTTAGCAGTTTTCCTGCGAAGAGAAATGAGGAAATTGCATGTGCAAATGACCTTCTAAAGCAAGGGCAAATACAAGTGTGGAATGCAGAGTGTCTTGCATTAATTTTGCCACACAGTTCCTAACTCAGGAATAGCTTGATTATTTTAGCATTCGGACTGAAGGAATCCAAACCATGCACAGTGTGGGGTGTCTGCTGCCATTTCCTGACTGAGATTAGCAATCTGCAGGAGTTTGCTTTTCTCTTCCTTCCCAAAACAGGGAAGAGAAAGCTGATTTTGCTGCAGGGTATAGCAGAGAATTTAAGCTGTTTAGTTTTCTGCTGCAGGGAATTGGACTCATCATTTGATGCCAAATCTTATTTTTGGTTCTTAAACAGTTTGTATTCCCAGAACACCCTACCATTTCCATATTTAATGGACAGATCCTGCCATTGCCTCTGAAAGGAGGTGGCAACCAGGACTTCTCAGGAAAGACCTGCTCTGGATCATTAGACAGCCAGACATGCATGGACAGTGCTGCTCCAAATAAAATCAGAGGGTCCCAATCCTAGAGTTCTAGAATCTCAGCTGATTTGGCCTGTCTTACGCCTTTCCGGGAAAAGGCATGGGAAGCACCATGTTTGATCATCTTTGATGTTATGACGGTGGATTATGATGACGGATCATCAAGAGCAGCCCTGGGAGAAGGAGTTGGGGGTGATGGTGATTACAAACTTACCGTGAGCTGCAGTGTGCGCTCACAGCCCAGCAACCAACCAAATCCTGTACTGCATCCAAAGGAGTGTGGGCAGTAGGTTGAAGGACATGATTCTCCCCCTCTACTCTGCTCTTGTGAGATCCCACCTGGAGTCCTGTGTACAGTTCTAGTGTTCCCAACAGAAAAAGGACATGGAGCTGTTGATACAGGTTCAGAGGAGGCCACAAAGCTGGTAAGAGGACTGGAGCACCTTCCCTATAGAGACAGGCTGAGAAAGGAGGGGTTGTTCAGCCTGGAGAAGAGAAAGTTGTGTCGACATCTCAGAACAACCTTCCAGGATCTGAAGGGGCTCCAGGGAAGCTGGAGAGGGAATTTTTGTTAGGAACTGGAGTGACAGGACAAGGAGTAATGGGCATAAATTGAAAGAGGGGAAATTTAGATTAGATATTGGGAAGAAGTTTTTTCCTGTGAGAGTGGTGAGACACTG